ATTACAGTATATTATTAAAAAAACTTACTATTTAGATAAAATTAAATTTTACCAAAAAATGTATTATATTTCTAAAAGACCAGAAGACTGAGAAACCAGAAGACAAAGAGACCAGAAGACAGAAAGACAAAGACCAAGAAACAGAAAGACAGAGACCAAGAGACAAAAAGACTGTGACCAAAAAACAGAAAGACAGTGACCAAGAGACAGAAAGACAGAGACCAAGAGACAGAAAGACAGAGACCGAGAAACAGAAAGACAGAGACCAAGAGACAGAAAGACAGAGACTAAGAGACAGAAAGACAGAGACAGAAGACAGAGACTGAGAGACAGAAGACTGAAAGACAGAAACCAAGAGACAGAGACTGAAAGACAGAGAGAAATAAACAAAATACTAGAGAAACAGAACCAAAGAAACAGAATTAGAGAGACAAAAAACCATAGAGGCAAGATGTCAATAAAACAGAAAGGTAAAGTAATAGAGAAATGAAGAAACAGAAAGATAGAAAATTAGAGAAATGAAAAATTAGAAAATTAGAAAAATAAAAAGTTGAAAAAATAGAATTAAAGAAATGAAAAATCAAAAAGATAAAAAATTAAAGTAATTAATAAAATAACATGGAGAAAAGAAGATTATCTTTGATAAACCTGTAGTAAAATAATAAAAATTCCAATAAAAAATGAGTAATTCATTAATAAAAGTTAAAAAAAATTTAAATAATACAGTAAAGAAATGATTATGCATTCACCAAAACATTTTTCATGCTTTATTAAATCATTTAGTTGTCATTAGTGTTGGCAGTCAAAACTATTTTTGACAAATGGTGAAATACAAATCTAAACCTAGCAAAAGACAAAACCTGGTGAAACTCTAGTGAAACATCGAAACTCTGGCAAAACTCTAGTGAAACATTGAAACTTTGGCAAAACTTCTGCTAAAGTTGAACCCTTAGAGAAAGTCAAAACTTGATGAAAAAGCAAATCCTCTAAGACTTCTGAAAAGACTAAGCCATCTAGTTTTATTATAATATTATTAATAAAAATTTAAAAAATTTAAAGTTTTTTATTTTTTTATTAAATTCATATAAGATGATTAACAAAATTAGCCAATCAAATTGATGCATGATAAATAAGAGTATCATGTTATGCTATATATATATATAAATAAAAATATTGATAATTATATAAAAACTTAATTTTCTTCAATTACCTTTCTATTCTTGCTAGTTTTATTATTTTTTACTAATTTTACTACCTTTTTCCAATTTTGCTACCTCTATTAGCAGTTTTGCTAGTTTCACAGTTTCGCCATCTTTTGCCAGTTTCACCATTTCGATTTTTTTTTGGTAAAGTCGAAACTAGGTTTGCTTGCCAATACTAGTTGTCATTATGCAATTCTTGATGAAATTGTATGCCTATTTTTCTATAATCAATTATAGAATGTTTATCTATATAAAAAGGCTTTTTGACCAAGTCCTTGAGTCAACTAGTAAGTAGCTAATAAAAATTCAAGAATCGACAACCTATTAAATAGATTTTTAATCTTGTTATATAAATAAAAATAAAACAATAAATCT